CAGTCAAAGTTTTTTTTTCTTTTTCCTCTCAAGGGATTCATTCCCAGTTGTGAGGCAGCAACTAAAACAACTCTCAGAGAGTCAAGGGGTCTATCTCCTCCTTTCTATTTCCTGAAGGCCTAGCCCAGTCATGAGGCAGTGCCTCTCAAAGCGACTCTCAGCAAGTCAGGGGAGTCTTCCTCTTCCTTCTCTGCCCCTGAAGACCCAGCTCCCAGTCATGAGACATTGCCTCTCAACCGACTCTCAGCGAGTCAGGGGTGTTTATGTTTTCATGCCCTGGAGGCTGCCAAGTCAGCCAGCCCAGACAGACCACTGGGGTTCCCAGCACAGTCTGAGTGCCTCTTACTGTACCTGTACATTACTAACCCCAGCTTCTCCCCTTGAAAAATAATTAACAATGAAACAGGCCTTACAAGAAATGAGTTGTGTAAACATCTGTGAACCATGCAGATTATATTTACTTCAATGCAACAGATTCAAAATAAAAACACAGTTAATAAAATAGTAAATCATAAAATCTAATGGTATTAATAGATATTAGGTCTCTCTTGAATATCGCAAAAGAGTAGTCATTCTAAGAAGAAAAGAAAAAAAGAGGCAGTGGTGCAGGCTGAGTCCCAGCTTGAGTTATTCGTGTGCAAACAAAACAGCAAGCAAAAAAGTCACTTGTGCAAGTCACAGTTTAATATGGAACCTCCACAACACATTTTCGCCTCAGTATTTAAAAACAAGGAACAATAAAGTAGGTAAACAGTAGAGCACTTGAGGTCTTCCCAATAGAGAAAGTGCACATGGTTCTCTTTGCTAGTTCCACTTATGCCCAGCTCCCCTTTCTGGATAACTTTGACTTATGATCTCCTGTCACAAGTAAGCACTCTTGTAAACATCCCGGGCTGTACGTCCAGCTCTGGGTCTGGCTCCAGAGCAGAACCAACAGACAGAGCTTGGCTTGTCAGACTCTTTCCATGAAGGTGTTGTCAGGGACGTCCAAAGGGACTAACCGTGGGGAGCAGGAGAGCGGAAAAAGACCCATATGCGTAGCGG